ATTGTTGTTGGTAGAGTAGGGAATAATTCTTCATTCGATAATGGGTTCGCTTTTTTCTTTCTTTTTGGTTGAGGACTAGAAGATAATAGGGCGAACCTACTATTTTCTAGAGCGGTCCCCCAGGGGGACATGTTTTCACAATTTCATTTAATTAATAAGAGTTAGAAAATAAGAGCAGGCTTATTGAAAAAATTAGGTGCGAAAAAGAATGCGAAAATGTAATTTGCACAAGCGAAATTGATTAACACAACGAAATTACTGATAGCACAACCGTATGCGTCAAGTGACAGTCGGAGACTGCTCAAATATTATATTTATAGGAATAGTATAATTTACGACTCCTTTATGTTTGAAACAGACCAGTAATGTTATATTTGCTGTAATCTAATTGTAGCTTGCCTCGTCCAGCTTCGTGATTTTTCTCCAGAGTCTCAACAAATTGTTTTACCTTTTTATGTATTAATACCAAATAACTGATTAAAATATGTTTTCTAAATAAATGAATGTCCAACCACAACTGAACAACTAGTTGAAGTATTCTGAAACTCTGGTCAACCCAATTTGCGGAGAGTTGAAAACCGAAATACTACAAAAAAGAAAAAAGCTTAAATTTTACATTTTTTAACAGATAGATCGATATTTTCGGCACTTGTGGGGCGAGTCAAGATTATTTACGAGAATCAACAGTTTTGATCCGAGAGTGGCAATTTTTGGACTCGACATAGTATACCTCAAAAGAACTATTTTTGCAAAGTGTTATCTCAATATATTCATTCGTGCTTAATTTGTGTACTGAAAAGGGGAAAGTCACATGTTAATTGTGGTATATCGGAAATAGGCTTCGTTATAATATAAAATGGGATCGTCAGGATAATGTTATGTACCGAAATTGGTTGAAATTGGTTAAGTAGGATAGAAGATTTGTTATTTCGTTTAAATGTGGGCTCAACGACCAATTTTGAAACTGGATCCTATAAAGGCCTCTTTCATAATCCTGGGTGTAAAACTTAATGCCTATTGTTGACATCCCGATTGAATGAATGGTCTCAAAAAATATCAAACGCCGTTTTTAGTTGATCGACACAGTTCAATTTACCGAAAATAAACGTGCTTCTCGATACATGTAGAGATTATAAGTTATAAAGATATAAGCTAATTTTTTTTTCGCAAATATTGAAATCGCCATTTTTGTTAGTTTCAAGAAGAAACATATTGTTATTCACATTATTTTAGGAATTTTCGAATACATACTCTTGCAGCATGTTGCTACAATGTTGTTCACTTAACGGTTGAATGTATGACCTAAAACTAAGCGAGATAAAGGGTTATACATTCACGGTGCTTTCTAAAGTAAACAGGACTTTTTGAATCTAGCGCCCCTGGTTTCGACATCTATATGTCGATTGGTGCGTTAGAATCTGCTATCTTTATCTATTGTCCAGTGCCATTAAATTTCATCGATTGAAAGTGAAGTTATTGCGTTTTGAGTGTCGGAAGGGGTATTGTCTTGCTCTTGGAAAACCCTTGCACGGTGCACGAAATGCAGAGTTTTCAACTTAATGCAACGGCACAACAACAAACACACGCAGAAAAATATTTGAAAGGGCTGTAAAGTATGTCAGACCAAAACCCATGTTTAATTTCCTGTAGTGACACGCAAAAATATAATTGCAACCCTGTTTTAGCTGTCATTTTATATAAAGACATATTTCGACGTTAAATTGTTGACAAAGGAAAATCTCAAATAGATTTTATAATATCTATTTAAATTATAGAGATTTGTTATAGTTTTTTTTTTTGTTAAGAATGAATGCAGAAGGTGCGACAATTCACAATAGCCATGCACAATAGTCATTCATTTAATTGACCGAATCACCTGCTCATACATCACTAGATCCTGCAATGGGTGCTCTCGTGGCCCTTATATTTCGGTATAGGGTTTTTGCAATCTGCAATCTTGCAAGAACAAGAGAATTCCCCTAGTATGTTTGTGTTATCGGTGCGAAAATGAGCTTCGAACAAAGGAAAAGTGTTAAATTTTGTTCTCAAATTGGTAAAACTTTTACCGAAACGTTTGAATTGATTAAACAAGTTTATGTCGATGATTGTCTATCCCGTAGCAGAGGGTACGAGTGGTTTCAACGTTTTTAAAGTGGACGTGGGGACATAAATAGCGATCAACATGTGGGCCAATCAAAATCCGTGATAACCTTAAATTCCATCGAAACTGTGATTGAATTTATCAAAAAGCAGCCGAAATCATTATTGATACTCATGGAAATGGAATTGAACATCTCCAAAACATCGATTTATCGCATTTTGACAGAAAATTTGGGTTTAAGAAAGGTGTGTGAATGCTTTGTTACGCACAAATTGACTGACGACAAAAATTGCTCAGGACCCAACATTCGAAGGCCGATTATTTGACTAAAAATCACATTTTAACCATTAACCACTCCTCGTGTTCACTTTTCCTTTTCGGAAAAATGCATTTGCCAATGAAAGGAAAGCGTTATGCACTGGCATAGTGGCGGCCATACCGGCCAACGAGCTAAAACACTCGTTCGACACGCTTTTGGACCGTGCAAGCTGTATTGAAGCAGGGAGATTAGTTTGAATCTGTGCCCAAAAAATAAGGTCATATTTGAATTTAAACTGCGCGTCGAAGGATTTGGAGAATTATTTTTTTTTTTTAGGTTGGTCAGTTACATTTATGCCAAAATATATATTAGTGTTTGAGATACGTATCGTTTTGTGAGCTGCTAAAAGTGAGTTTTTCGTTTTTTGCTATGTCGAAATTTGTTGAGCAAAGAATTTGCATTAAATGATAATTTCGCCAACAACTCAACCCATATCGTTCCGCAACCACCGTATTCACCTGATCTGGCGCCGTGCGACTTCTGGCTGTTCACCAAGCTCAAAAGACCGTTCCCCGGAACACCGTTTTTATATGATATTCAAGCCGCAGCGAAGACGGAACTGAAGGGCATCCCGGAAAGTGACTACAACCAGTGTTTCGAAGATTGGAAAATCCGTTGGCATAAGAGCATTGCATCGGGAGGGGATTACTTTGAAGGGGATGAAATTGATTTGAAAGAATAAATAAAGAATTTTCAAAATAAATACAATGTCACCTTATTTTTTGAGCACAGGTATAAATTGACTTTGCCGAAAAAGCCATTTGTTCTGTTTTTTTTTTAAGACCTGTTTATTTTGGATCGCACCTGGTATATACTATATATAAATAATCGGGATGACGAGAAAATGATGAACCTTGGTATGAGGATTTCGTTGATGGGCGCAATCGGACAACTGCCACGCCCACAAATCGCCACTAAACGAAATACTAAAAAGTGCCATAACTAAGTACCAAATAAATTTGAACATCACAGTAGCAATTTTAAGAAAATGGACGTAGTTTCGCCCTATAATAAGATTAATGTACATATCAGCTAACCCAATACAGCTACAATAACTTACGTTACTGAGTGCAAATACTATAAGAACTCCTATCTACGCTGTAAAAACGGATGAAATTGGAAAATAATCCCACCATATAACGGTATTGTTCAAAACTACTGGAAGCGCAATAAATCAATAACTAATTACGCCAAAGACATTAAATTTTACCACCGAGATGGTATGAGGGAACTTTATGGGTGCCGGTGTGAAAATTAGACGATGAGTGCGGCAACGCCACTTTTTCGTGAAATCGTACACCTTGGGCCCGACCAACCGGTTTGGACTAAACTTAGTACGTAGCATGCTTCGCGTACTTCTATTTCACAGTACGAAAATGGGCGGAATCGCCTACATTCCATACAAGAACATTTTAAATTGAATTTGATTCATTCATCCTCCAGTAGACAAATCAAGAAGGAATTATAATAACGGAGTAAAATTTCGCGTTTATAGTTCGTTTAAAGTATGCAACCTTATCACCAAAAATTTATCAAATCCTAGCAAGGTGGTTCAAGCCCCAAGGTGCCGAATATGTGGACCTCAGTATCTATAGTTGACTGATATACAATTGAAATTCAGGGAGCCTTTACCCCCACATACCTAATATAAAGACTTTCGAACTTCCAGGTGACTATATACTGAATATGTCCGTCAATAATGGAGTTATCTCAATGAAAAATTTGTACAATATCATGTATCTTTTTGCCTAAAATAGATACATTTGGACGAAAGCTTGACATAGCCCCATATAAGTAATATCGGGATTTTTGAACATCCGCATGACTTTACTCCATATGATTGGTGATTGTATGTATGTGAGGTACCTTAAAGGAACCCAGGGAATATATTTGTGGCATGATAATAGTTAATAGGCGAAATCGGGTAACTTCCCCAACTCCCATATAGTATGTATATATAGAACTGTTTAGATTCCGATCCTCATGTTGACGTTTTATATCTTAAGTTGCTGGCTTTGATTCCTATAAGAGTTTAAAATGTTATGTTGCACCTGAACTTAGTGCTTTCTTACTTGTTATATTTGATTTTGATATTTGGCCAATTTGAAGTTCTCTACATTACTCGGACTACTACATTAACGCAGTCTTCATATACGTATAAATAGTTGAAATTGCAATTATTTTGCTGCTATTTAATCTAATTGTTGTCAATACAAATTTACATTCCTATTAATTAATAATCGCATTAAAAAGCTTGTTACCCGCTACAACACTATATGTATCTAAAGCAATAGTAGTGAAATATCCAAATGCAGTTTCTCATTGCTGTCATATTTTTAAGAGAAAAATTTAGGAGACAGATACTATTGCACTTAAAGTTTCCTGTTTAATTGAATTTATAAAGAGAATAATGTTTTTGTATTTACATGTACAATATATTGTAGATTGAATGTAAATTGGCAAGTATGCTAATTTTTATTAGCAAAACTTCTGTAATTATATATACTTTATTAAATAAATTTTTAATTTTAGCGTCAAAAGTGGGAAGAAGTAAAACCATTTAAAGTAAAATACAATTGGTACGTTTGATATTTCCTTGAGTTACTGTATTATCAAATATATGAATATCAAATCATGATTATATCGCTAGGTGCAGACAAATGCATGTAAATCGTAATCAATCCATGGTTGTGATTTATTAACCTCCTTTATTTAACCATAACCAAATATTCCCATGCCTATAAAAAACTATTCCTTTTTCGTTTCTTCCTTTGGAATTTCAGGATATTCAAGCTTAACACCAGATTCGCAGGTAAAGATAGGGCAGCAGTACGGAAAAGGCGCTGTCTTGTTTGTTTTTTCTGTGTCCAGCTTACATTTATCATTGGCTAACGGTAGTGGGCCGCAATCTTCTACCAACTCCAATAACCTGGAATTAAACAAGAGTGAAAATTATGAAAACGGTTATTGAAACTATTAAAATAAGAACTTTTAATTTTAAATAAATAATACTTGGCCGAGGTTTCATCGTTCTGAACACAAGTTGAGCGACCGCAAAAGGGTGTCAGCTCCCAGGTTTTCGTAGGTTCGACTGTAGCACAACGTGTGGAAGCAAAACACATTCCAGGGAAATCTGAAAATAGTAAAAAAACAACGTAAGGGAGTGCTAAGTTGGGGTGTAACCGAATTCTCTTGCAACTTGCAAGTACAAAAGCTCTGGAAATACCTTCAGTAGTGGAAGATGTAAAGATGGACTAATTTCAGGTACAACCGAACATTTTATGCTCTTGCGCTTGCAACTTGCAAGAGCCAAAGCCGGGAAAATACCCTAAGGTGCAAAACGATCAATATATGTATATATATATGTTTGGATTCCAATTTTCTGGTTATACAGTTATATACAGCTGATACACTGACCGACATTTTCGACATAAGGTTTGTTAGAAAACCGAATTTCATAGTACATATATATTATGAAGTATATCGGAGTTGGGGGTAGTATCGACACAATTTTATTTATTTTTGCCAATACTACATACAATAACCATGCCACGTACTAATTTTCGCCCAATTTTATTACTTTTAAGCACAAAGATACACTGTTAAGAGTAAAACACGCTCTCTCATTTTAATTTATATAACTAAATTTTTGGCCAATATAAGCGGTATAAAGTCAGCTAGAAGTTCGAAAATCACTGCATTGAGTATAAGAGGAGTATGAACCCGATTTAACCCATTTTTGACACACAATCATACCATTGTCAGGGAAGAATTATCCCTGAATTTCAATTATATCTACATCTTATATCTAATATATAAAATTTCCATGTCACATTTTAGTTACCATACTCCTCCGAAACGGCTTTACCGATTTTTACCAAATTCTATAAGCGTATACAGTAGGTCTGAGAATTGGCTACTATATATTTTCCATACCCCTAAGCGATCAGGATTGATTACCTTTTTTTTTACTTTTTGGACGAAAGTTTTTGTTTTTATTTTTTTATAATGTGGCATTAAAAAATTCATACAACCCTAAAGTTTACATATTATCATATTGCCATCTCAGTGTAACTCTCATATTAACTACATAATACTTATTACTTTTTATTCATAATAATAAAAATATTAATTTTAAGTGTATTTGACACGATTAGTTCAGTTAATAAAATTTTAGTGAGCAGTGCAAAATTTAAATGGAAACGATGAAGTATTTGCTTACAATTTTAAACTGATCATTCTTTAAAAATAGTATACTTACTTAATATTGGGAATGATAAAATATAACTGCAACCAACCACGCAGTGCAATGGATCGTAACCGGCTCAGCCGATGAATATTATACTACGTGCATCCCAAAGGGCTGATGACATAACCTAGTCAGCCGACTTTTTTATCTTTCCATGTTTGAGGACCGGTTCATCATGTGCAGCCCACTATGCTGAATGTCGATTGGACTCCAATGTGAAATGATTAAGCAATGCTTCAGTTGTCATATGCCGAAGAAAAAAATTTACGATTAAAGAACATTCAAACATTTCCCAGAGGCATCATTTCGTTGTTTTTGTTCGATTATGAACTTGCATCTTGAGGGCGTCACCTGCCGTCTTGTTCTCAGTTCTCATTTCGCCTCTTTTCAACTTAGGAAATCTCTTTTCAACGGTTAAAAGACAATCGCATTTTCCCCCCATAAGCAATGGTTTACGAAATGCTTTTTGATCTTCTGCTATCTCATTTACTAATAGTGCTTCAGTTGCAAAATTTGTGTATGATCCTTTTAAAGGTAGGTGCTGACTAGAAATCATATACATACGTAGATGGTATTCGTATTACCACCTATGTAACAGCCACAGTAAAACGTGGACGGGTCGTCTAGTATATGTCTAAATTTGCGGTAAAAAATCAATTATAGGCATTGGAGCCCAACAACAGTTAAACAGTTTTGTTGGATTTGAACAGTCTTTTTTCAGAAACTGATATATCTTAAAAGCATTATTTGCGCAAAGTTTTATCCCGTAATATTAATTGCTTTTTGATATGCACACTGAATAGGAAAGAATCAGATGAAATTTAAAATCATTTTACATGGGAAGTAGCCGCGGTTGCAATGCGCTTCCATTTATGCACAGTTATGTAGGAAGTTGAGGAGAACATCAGGCATCAAGTTTCGTCGTGCAAATTACGAGATATTTAATAGTTTTGAACAGTACCGATATACGATATGGGAAATGAGCGAAGTTGTCGTCCGGTTTCATTAATTTTCATACTGTCCGAAGGGGTTCTTACAGGATTTCTCTTCTCTTTTTAGCTTATTGTTAGTTATTTAGTTATTGGCCATTGACTCAATTGTTATACTCGTCCAACATGTTGCTACAGAGTATAATAGTTTTGTTCACCTAACGGTTGTATATGTCACTTAAAACTAATTGAGTTAGATATGGAGTTATATATAATATATAAATGATCAGTATGATGAGCCGATTTGAAATCCGAGTAACAATCTTTCTGTCCGTCCTCCCGTACAACCTTAATTTGAGATATCGAAATAAAGCTTTTGTATATATATATGTTTCTTGGCAAAAAAGTAAGAACGGCTTCGTAGATGAGCACATTCGGACCACATCCACGCCCAGTATAGTACTTTATGACAGAGAATTTCAGTAGCAAGGGCACCTTTGGACTAACAATTTGGAAAAAGTGGGCGAATCTCCGCCCTGTAATAGGTTTAAAATACATATCTCTCAAATCGTTCAAGCCAAAATAACCAAATTCGCTCTAGATAAATTCTATTCCACTTACAATGTTGAAGCGGATCAAATCCACTCACTCCCCATATTTCGGTAGTATTAAAAATTACTAAAAGCATGATAAATCAATACCCAAAACTCCAGCGAGAGTAAATTTTACCATGGTGTTAGACAGCCTGTTAACAACCGGTATTAAAATTGGACAAGGGCGCGGCACCGCCTTCTTTTACGTGAAATCCTATATCTCAGGACCTGCTCGACCGATTTCAATCAAATTCGGTAAATATCATTATCTTAATATTCCTATGTTACAGGCTGAAAATAGGAGAAACCGGTTCACAACCACGCCTATTTCCCATATAACACAAGTTTAAATTCCTTTTGCTTCTTTTACTTTCCGGTATACAAATCAAGAAGTAATTAATATAACGAGATACATACCTTTGAAGTATGACACCATATGATCAAAAATTGGGCAAATCGAGCCAAAACTGACTTTCGACAGAAATTATCGCTCAATGTGTGAAATTATAATTAAATTCAGAGATTATTTTTTCCAGATATTATTTTTTCAATCTCAATATAGTTAAAGAATTTCAAGCTTCTGGGAACTTTATATCGCATATATTGGCCAATATCTGAGTTATCTTAATAAAATTGAGAGAACGAGTTTTACTCATAACGGTGTATGTTTGTTCCTAAATAGATAAAATTGGGCGGTAACGTGACCTAGCCTCGATATAACTAATATTAGGATTTTCGAATATCGGCCTGACTTCACTCCAAATGGTTGGAGAGGAACAATGTGAGGAACCTTGATGAAACGTTGGGAGCATAATATTAGCCTGTGGGCTTTTAATTTTATGTGGCATTGGCAAAAAACAGATAAAATCGGGTCAATACAATTTATATACTTAATACAATTTATGCGGTTTTGTTTAATGGCGTTTTGTGGTCGTGGCAGTGATCTGATTATACCCATCTTCTAACTCATGCTAAATTTTTTGATAAGGAACATGTATACTAAGCTTTATTAAGACAGACAATCTTTCGGAATTCAACTCATCTCGTCATCCTAATCATTAATATATGTATATATGCATATGTATATAACCCTACATCCATCCTAATTAGATTTAGGTGATACAAAACTTTTATACTCCGTAGCAAGATTTTGCAAGAGTATACAAATCGAAGTATATTTTGACCACCCGAGCTATTGAAGTTGCTCCGAATACTTGTACAAATGAAAGTCTAAGAGCGTAAACAGAAATGAGTAACTTAACATTTTCTTACTAGGTTTAAAAATGGAAGGCCGAGGTAGAAGTGGCTTACGCTATTAATAAATCCTTGCTTATCATTGAGAATAACTGAATCCATTAATAAAGGGATAGCTGCAGTAAGCGAAAAATTATTTAGAAAGTGGTTTCCGAGCTGCCTCTCAAGAGTATTAGAACGACAACACTTTAGAACACGTATGTACGCTGAATAGGATTTGACAGATAGCTACTTTCTAGGCCGTACTGAAAGTTGATGAACGAAAAATGAAACGTTCTATATAACTTTTACTCCCAATAGTTTTTTTTAATTGCATTATTAACTATATAAACATACATTTATATTAATCTTTAAATTTACGCACATAGTTGTTTTGCTTTTATAAGTGAAGTGTGCTTGTTTATTTATAAAAAAAAAATAATTTGTGTTTGAACACTATTATATCAAATTTCACATTATTTGTACTATTTAAAAATATTTACAGTTAGTATAAGTTTTACTTTAATAGCATACAATTGTAAAGAGGCATATTTTGTTGAATTTATTGAATTTTTAATAAATTTTTTATTGTTAATTCTTAACAAATGTTACATTGCCGGACCATGAAGAGTTTCGAAAGCAATTACCTGTCTGAAGATCAACAAAGCAGCGGGGCCGATAGACTGCCGGCCGGGCGACGACGAAGAACTCATAAGGAGTATGCATCAGCTTCTTTGTAGAATATGCTCGGACGAAATCATACCCGAATATTAAACTCGATATGCGTCAAATACTGTGTGATAAGCCTCTTCAAAATAGCGTACAAGCTTCTACCGAGGGTATTGTTTGAAACATTAAAGCTCACCGTCAACAAACTGATTGAACCTTAACAGTGTGGCTGTAAAGAGGATCGACACACACCATTTCTTCACCGATTTTGAAGCTGCTTTAGGCACCACGAAAAGGAGCTGTTTTTTAAGCTATATCTGAATTTGGTATTCTCGCAAAGCTAGCACGGCTGTGTAAACTGACGTTGATCAAACCAAAAGATACGTCAGACAAAGAACAGACAAAGCGGATCCCTATTGTGCGATTTCTTCAACCTACTCCTGGATAAAATAATTCGAGTTGCAGAACTTAATTGAGAAGGTACAATGTTCTATAGGATGATACAGCTGCTGGCGTACGTCGATAATATTGATATCAACACCCACGCCGCTAGTTCTGCTTTCTCCAGACTGAATAAGGAAGCGTAGAAGATGGGTCTGGCAATAAATGAGGGCAATGCAAAATAACTCCTGACATCAAACAGTCTTCGCACACGCGACTTGTAGTTGTAGGTAATTTCGCCTATCTTGAAACCAGTATTAACGCTATTGCAAAATAACTCTTGCCAGTATTCCCCTTCCTCTGCATCCC